GACGCATCTGGGTGGCAGTTCTACCACCCCACCTCTCGCCGTGTTCTGTTCTCCCAGGACGTCACGTTCAACGAGTCGGTCCCCTACTACCGTCTCTTCCCCTACCGCACTCCGTCCCTCCCCCCGCCACCGCTCTTCCTTGTGCCAGGTCCCCCCCCGGTAGACCCCCTCCCACCTCAGGGTCCTGCCCCTTCAGGTGTTTCCCAGGTAGACGCTGTTGAGCCTGTCGAGGTCGCTGGTGACTCTGGTGCTGCTGAGGGTGCTGAGCCTGGGGGTGCTGACTCTGGGGGTGCTGAGCGTGTGGGTGCTACGCCTGGGAGTGCTTAGCCTGGGGGTGCTACGCCTGAGGGTAATGAGCTTGGGGGTGCGGAGCCTGAGGGAGCTGGGCCTGCTCGTGTGGCGTCTGGCGGTGCTGTGCCTGGCGGTTCTCCGGGTGCTTCGTCTTGTCGGGAGCCACTCTCTCCACAGGAGCTGCGCGAGTGGTTTGCCCGGCGCTGGAGGCAAGCTGCTGGAGCTGGAGGTGCTGCGGGTACTGGACGTTCTACTGCTGCTGAGGGTCCTGGTGCCGCGGGTCCCGGAGGTGCTCGTACTGGGAGTACTGGAGCTGCTGGGCCTGCGGGTACTTTTGGAGCTGGAGCTGCTGCGGGTGTTGGCGCGGAGGCTACTGCTGTCGGTCCTGGAGGTGGTCCTGCTGGGGGTGCTCCTGGTGCTGCTAGAGGTTCTTCGGCTACTGAGGGTGCTGCTGTCGCGGGTCCCGGAGGTGCTCGTACTGTCAAAACTAAAGCTGCTGGGCCTGCGGGTTCGAATGGAGCTGGTGCTACTGAGGGTGTTGGCGCTGAGACTACTGCTGGCGGTCCTGCTGGGGGTACTCCTGGTGTTGCTAGAGGTTCTGGAGCTGCTGGAGGTGCTGCTGGAGCGGGTACTCCTGCTGGGGGTACTGGTGCTGAGCGTCGTGAGCCTCGTCTCGCCCTGCGTCGCCTGTCCACGCTGCTCGCACTAGTGGTCGTGGTTCGCGTCAGCGTCCTCCTCCTGTCCCTGGCACGCACAGGATGTCTCTGCGTCCGTCCACTGCTCCTCTGCGTGCCCCTTTGCCTTCTCCTCCTGAGTCCTCTCTTCCTACTCTTGCCGACCCGGAGTCGGACTCTCTTCGTGCTGCCAGTCCTACTGTCACGCGTCTCCTTGCTACTGTCGTCACTGACCCTTCTTTCGAGTCCACTGCTGCGTCTGCCCTAGTTGCTGAGCTCGTCGACTTTGCTGCTCGTTGTCGCCTAGACTAAGTTGCTAGTCTTGTCGCTGAGTCTGAGTCTGTCTGTCCTCCGTCCGTCGGGGGTGAGTGTGCCCTTGGCACAGACGTCCTTGAGGACAGGCAGGAGGAGTTCCAGTGTCTGGCAACTGCTTCACCTCATCTCGTATCCGTACTGCTTACCCCTGAGGGAGACCCGGATGCACTTGACATCCCGACTTTGCGCTCTTACGCGAAGGCGATAGAGGGTCCCTACTCCTCTCAATGGCAGGCAGCTATGGATGCAGAGATGGCTTCCTGGAAGTCCACAGGCACCTACGTTGACGAGGTTCCCCCGCCTGGGGCGAACATCGTCAGTGGCATGTGGATCTTCAGGGTGAAGCGGCCGCCGGGTTCTCCGCCTGTCTTCAAGGCACGGTACGTGGCTCGTGGCTTCAGTCAGCGGCAGGAAGTTGACTACTTTCAGACCTTCTCTCCCACCCCAAAGATGACCACTCTTCGGGTACTGCTGCACGTTCCTACTCACCGTGTCTACGAGCTGCACTCTCTCGACTTCAGCACTACTTTCTTGCAGGGCAGCCTGCACGAGATCTGGCTGCGCCGCCCACCTGGCTTCATTGGGTCGTTCCCTTCTGGTACCCAGAAGAGTCTCCCGCGTCCAGTCTACGGTCTCCGCCAGGCGCCACGTGAGTGGCACGACACACTGAGGACTACGCTTGCGGCTCTTGGGTTTGCTCCTTCTACTGCTGACCCGTCGCTGTTTCTACGCACCGACACCTCTCTGCCGCCGTTCTACATCCTCGTGTACGTCGACGACTTGGTCTTTGCCACAACTGACACTGCTGGACTCGCCTACGTGAAGTCCGAGCTGCAAAAGAGACACACGTGCACAGACCTGGGTGAACTGCGTAGCTACCTTGGCTTGCACATCACCCCGGACAGAGCACGCCGCACCATTACCCTGACTCAGTCACACATGGTGCAGCAGGTCCTTCAGCGCTTCGGCTTCACATACTCCTCGCCTCAGGCCACTCCTCTGCCTACTCGCCACTCGCTCTCAGCTCTGCCTTCGGATGAGTCCGTAGAGTCGAGTGGCCCGTATCCAGAGCTTGTTTGCTGCCTCATGTACCTGATGACCTGCACACGACCTGACCTTGCATACCCTCTTAGCATTCTTTCACGCTATGTTGCTCCTGGGAGACACCGACCAGAGCACATGGCTGCAGCGAAGAGGGTGTTGCGCTACTTGTGCAGTACGTCGGGCATGGGGCTACTGCTTGGAGGGCGGAGTCCAGTGGTCCTCACTGGGCACGCGGACGCTTCTTGGGCTGACGACCAGGCTACACAGCGGTCGTCACAGGGTTACACCTACAGCCTTGGTTCCGGCTCTGTCTCGTGGCGGGCTACTCGCTCATCTTCTGTTCTCGGCTCCAGTTGTGAGGCTGAGATCTACGCTGGGGCCATGGCTGCACAGGAGCTTCGCTGGCTCACCTACCTGCTGACTGACCTCGGAGAGCCGCCTCGTTCTCCTCCAGTTCTGTACGTAGACAACAAGGCCATGCTGGCCTTGTGTCGAGAGCAGAGACTGGAGCACAGAACAAAGCACATTGCTCTCCGCTACTTCCTTGCTCGTGAGCTACAGCAGCGTGGACAGTTGCGGCTTGCGTACGTGGCCTCTGAGGCCAACACTGCTGATGTCTTCACCAAGGCACTTGCGCCTTGTGATCATCAGCGCTTCTGCACTCAGCTGGGTCTTGTCCCTGTCTTTCCTCACTTGCTCACCTCTTGACCTTTCTTGTACTGTTACATATATATATACCTGCTCTTGCTTGTCTAGCCTAATATATATATATGTAATCCTGCATGTGAACTGGCCTTGTGGCCTTGAACTTGTGCTCGGAATGTGTGGTGACTTTGTGATCCACCCTGAGCTTGCTTTGCTTTGCTTGACTGGTCTTGTGACCCCCTGTTCTCCCCCACTTTGCCTATAGGGGTGTGTCAGAACCTTATAGCTTATGCTGTTGTGTAGGCTGTAGTGGGGTATCCCATAGGGGGTACAACCCAATTAGGGTTAGTACTTGTACCCACTTCTTTCATAGTTCATTCATTCTCGTTTCAGTTTTCTCAAGGATGTTCCTGCATCGCCATTCCGCAATGTTTGGAGCCCTTGCTCCAAGCTGAGTGCGCAAAGATCCTTCTCGAAAATGATATTTTGATCCCAATTTTTAAAACCCACAAACATGCGTTATTTGCTGCGATCAGAAGTTGATCGTAGCCCAGGATCTACTCAGGAAGGTTCGCACGCAGAGAGGTAGTGTGGGTGGGCCCTGGACCTCAAATAGCAGAGTGAATGTAAAATGCTTTGAGATGAAATAAAACATGCAAATACAGGGAATATAAATATGAGTACAGGGAAGACGAAACGACCTAGCTAGCCATGTACTCTTAGGGGTACATTCCCTTATTCAAATACATCCCAACCGTGCGGCGCATACAGTTTCATAACTGTTCCCGCCAAAACCATCCTGCCTGCAGCTGCCCGATGTCGTCTGCGCCCGACGGTCCAGATGTGCTGTAACCGTCCGACTCTTCGATTCAATTCCAACCGTCTGACGCTTCGCGTTCATTCCCGATATTGCGTGTTCCTTTTGCTGTGGTGAGGAGTGCTCAGTAATATCAAATATTACTATTCGTATTATTATTAATGCAGTGGAAACATGAATGATAACGCATACGCACACAACACAATACATACATATGATCATACACATTCACACATACACGCATGCACGAAGCCAACTGACAAAGCATATTAACCGCAGATGAAATAGAAACCTAAATCACCAAGACAATTTGTATCCTATACTGTAAGTCACAAGAAATATCAGTCTACTTCTCATATTGAGCTCGACTGCCTGGAAAGTAAGACAAAGCTGGGTTTAGGAAGCGAAGGCAAATGGGAAATAACAAGGCATAATGAAATTACGAGAGAGAGAGAGAACAAGAGAGAGAACGAGAGAGAGAATGAGAGAGAGAGAGAGAGAGAGAGAGAGAGAGAGAGAGAGGAAACGGGAGAGAGAGAATGAGAGAGAGAGAACGAACGAGAGAGAGAAAGAGAGAACGAGAGAGATAGAACGAGAGAGAGAGAACAAACGAGAGAGAGAAAGAGAGAACGAGAGAGATAGAACGAGAGAGAGAGAACGAACGAGAGAGAGAGAGAACGAACGAGAGAGAGAAAGAGAGAACGAGAGAGATAGAACGAGAGAGAGAACGAGAGAGAGAACGAGAGAGAAAGAGAGAATGAGAGAGAGAAAACGAGAGAAAGAGAGAATGAGAGAGAGAGAGAGAGAGAGAGAGAGAGAGAGAGAGAGAGAGAGAGAGAGAGAGAGAGAGAGAGAGAGAGAAAACGGTAGTTTAGATGAAACCAAAATGAAGATTACAAGGCCCCTGCAGATTCTAACAAACAAACAGAAGCTTTTCTTTCGTTCTCTAGCACGCTTTCGTTCTCGCTTTCTCTATCTCTACTCTACTGCTCTCACCTCCTCACCCCCTCTCTCTTTCCCAAGATGATGGTCAAACACAAACTCACCGTTAATAAGAGGAGGGAGTGAGGCAACAATGTGCTTGACCGTTCCTGGAAACAGATGGTGGGATATAGAAGCAAATCAAACAGCTACAAAAGACTTCAGCCGATTATGGCTTCAAAATGTCAGATTTATATGACTTAGCAATTGTAGGCTATAGTGGGGTAGCACATATGGGGTACACACTTTCTAGGGTTTGTACTTGTACCCAACTTTTCCTTTGTCAATTCATTCCTCGTTTCTCCTCATGGTATCGAGCAGGTTCCCTAGTGGGAACGCTTCCTAGGGCCCAACACGATTTTTTTTTTCCGGCCCGGAGCGCGCTTCGCTCCTGCCCGAGTCGCGCCAAATGTGCTCTCCCTACCATCGCGCCCTCTCTAGGCCAATCATGGCCCCTTCGCGTCGCCCTTAGCGGCCCTCTCACGGCCCCTCGCGCCGCCCTTACGGCCCCTAGCGCCGCCCTTACGGCCCGTTGCGCCGCCCTTACGGCCCCTCGTGCCGCCCTTACGGCCCATCGCGCCGCCCCTACGGCCCCTCGTGCCGCCCTAACGGCCCCTTACGGCCCCTCGTCGGCCCCTCGCGTCGCCCGTAGCGGCCCCTTACGGCCCCTTGCGCTGCCCGTCGGCCCCTTAGCCGCCCTTCGCGGCCCTTCACGCCGCCCTTACGGCCCCTCCCGCGGCCCCTTACGACCCCTCGAGCCGCCTTAGCGGCCCCTTACGGCCCCTCCCACCGCCCGTCGGCCCCTTACGCCGCCCTTCGCGGCCCCTCGCGCCGCCTTCCGTGGCCTCCTCACGGCCTGTCGCCGCCCTCCGCGGCCTCTTCACGGCCCGTCGCCGCCCTCCGCGGCCCCTCGTGCCGCCCTTCACGGCCCCTTCGCCACCCTTCGCGGCCTCTCAGCGGCGGCCGCCGCCGTCCCTACAGCAGCAGCCTCCGCCGTCCCTGCTGCAGCTTCCGCCGCGGTCGTCACCAGACACAGCCGCCCAGCAGCCGAGCAGCCGAGCCACCGAGCCGCCGAGCCGCCGAGCAGCCGAGCCGCCGAGCCGCCCTGCAGCTGAGCCACCGAGCCGTCGAGCCGCCCAGCAGCCGAGCCGCCCAGCAGCAGAGCAGCCCTGCAGCCGGGCCGCCGCAGTCATTGCCTCGGCCGTTTCCCTCCTGCCTGATAAGCACAACGCTTCTGCCACTGCACTGCCCTACCCTGCTCCTCTCTCTCCTGGTCTACCGCTGTCATGGCCACCCCCAGCGTTCTCACCTTTGACGCTGAGGGTCAGGCTGTTGACTTTGAGGTTTAGGTAGATGATCTGCAGCTGTTCCTCCAGTGCAATAGGGCAGACGGTCTCTCCCTGTTTGACCTCACCTCTGGTGCCTCCCTTGCCTCTGCTGCTGATGCCGACCCAACTGTTCGCTCACAGTGGGCCACGCGCGATGCTGCTGCCCGCCTTGCTGTGCGCCGCCACTTGCCTACTGCTGAGCGCGCGCATTTTAGTCAGTACAAGAGTGCTAAGACCTTGTACGACGCTGTAGTTGCACGCTACTCTTCCCCTGCCACTGCTGCCCTTAGCCGCCTCATTCTGCCGTACCTCTTCCCTGACCTCGCCGCTTTTCCCACGGTCGCTGACCTCAGTACGCACCTTCGCACTAGTGACATTCGCTACCGCGCTGCGCTTCCTGCTGACTTCTGCGCCAAGAACCCCCCCCCTATGTATATCACACTCTACTACATAGTCACCCGGCTCCCTGACACCCTTCGTTCGGTCAGGGACCACTTCCTCTCTGTCTGCCCCACCACTCTCACGGTTGACCTCCTCGATGAGCGCCTCCTAGCAGCAGAGAAGGGTATAGTTGCTGTAGGAGCCTCTCGTGGTGACCCTCGTACCCTTGTTTTTGAGGGGTGCTCCCCCTCCCCCCTCTTGCCCTCTGTTGCCTCTGCTGCAGCGGCCGACCTAGTTGGACTTGAGTCGGTCAGTGCGGCGTCTGCCCCTAGCGGGAGACGCCGCCCAGGCAAGGGCAAGGGAGGCAAGGGCGCTGGAGGAGCTGGAGGGGGCGGTGGAGGAGGTGGTGGGGGCGGAGGAGGGAGTGGGGGTGGTGGTGGGAGTGGTGGTGGGGGTGGGGGCACTAGTGGCGGCAGTGGAGGCGGAGGAGGCGGCGGTGGTGGCGGTGCGAGCGGAGGTGGCGGTGGTGGAGGTTAGCGGCGGTGGAGGAGGAGCTGGTCGAGGCGGCTCTACGCAGCGGGTCACCTCCAGTAGTGGTCAGCGCCAGCAGCAGCAGCAGCAACGCACCCGTGAGACCCCTTCCCCCCAGCAGCTTCGTGAGTGGTACACTGCGCATCAACGGGGTGGGGGTGCTGGCCCCTGTACCTACGTTCTCCGTACCGGCGACCGTGCGGGTGAGCAGTGTGGGGGTCAGCACTCCACCCAGCGCTGCTTTGGTCGTCTGACGGACGCTTGGCGTCACCGGTTCCCCGACGCTACTTAGATCCCTCGCTGGGGCGAGCTGTCTAGGGCGGGTGTTGCGATCTTTGATCTTGACTATGATGCTATCCTTGCTGCCATGTATGCTGTGACTATTAGTGAAGAGGGTGACTGTTACCGGTGTTTTCCGCCCGACCCGGGCATTGGGGCTGCTGCTCTAGGTGCCAGTACGTCTGCTGCCTCAGGTGCCAGTGAGTCTGCTAATCTAGGTGCCAATGCGTCTGCTGCTTTAGGTGCCAGTGAGTTTGCTACTCTAGGTGCCACTGCGTCTGCTGCTCAGGTGCTGGTGAGTCTGCGCTCTCAGGTACCGCGTCGGCTCCGGCCACCCTCACCTTCATTCTTGACTCGGGTGCTTCCCGCTCCTTCTTTCGAGACCGCACCACACTCACGCCGCTCAGTCGGCCAGTGGCGGTCTCCCTGGCAGACCCCTTTGGGGGTCCTGTCCTTGCCCACTTCTCTACTGTCCTACCGTGTCCGGCGGCCCCTTCTGGCACCCTGTCAGGTCTTTACCTCCCCTCGTTCTCTACGAACTTGGTGAGTGGTGCTGACCTCCAGGATGCAGGGGTTCACCAGTTCACTCCTGCGAGTTGGCGAGTGACCCAGTGTACCTGTGCTTGCACGGGCCGTCACTTGGCCACGTTTACCCGTCGGCCAGGGTCGAGCCTGTACACACTGACTACTGAGTCTCCTCCAGTCTATGAGACTGCTCAGGTAGCCGCGTCGGGTCAGGTGCTTGCTGCGGCGTCCAGGTCTGGTCCTGAGTCTGCCGCCTGCTCGTGTCGTCTCCTGTCTCACCAGACTCTCCTCTGGCACCACCGCCTTGTTCACCCCTCCCTGCCTCGCCTTCGAGGCATGGCCTCCCGTGTCCTTGTCTCTGGTCTCCCCGGGTCCCTCCCTCCCCTTCCTCCGGGGCCTGCCCCGACCTGCGTTCCCTGCGTCGAGGGGTGGCAGCGCGCTGCTCATCACTCCTCCGAGTTTCCTCCGACAGAGGCTCCGCTGCAGATGCTTCACATGGACGTGTGGGGCCCAGCCCGCATCCGTGGACAGGGTCACGAGCGTTACTTCCTGCTGGTGGTTGACGACTACTCGCGTTACACCACAGTCTTCCCCTTGCGCAGCAAGGGTGAGGTCACTGAGGTGTTGATCACCTGGATCCGCGCAGCTCGTCTCCAGCTCAGAGAGAGTTTCGGCACGGACTTTCCTGTTCTACGTCTGCACTCCGACAGAGGCGGAGAGTTTTCCCCTGACCTTCTGCGGGCCTTCTGTCGTGCACGAGGCATCCGTAAGACCTTCACGCTTCCGGACTCCCCACAGAAAAATGGGATTGCTGAGCGCCGCATTGGCATGGTCATGGACGTCGCTCGTAAGTCTATGGTCCATGCGGCCGCCCCCATTTTCTGTGGCCGTTTGCGGTTCGGTACGCGGCGCATCACATCATCCTTCAGCCCAGGGTCTCCATGCCGGAGTCCTCCCCTGCCTTGCTGTGGACGGGGAAGGTTGGCGATGCGTCTGCGTTCCGTGTCTGGGGATCTAGGGCGTTTGTCCGCGACTTGTCTGCGGACAAGCTGTCCCCTCGTGCTGTCCCCTGTGTCTTCCTTGGCTTCCCCCTAGACGCGCCAGGCTAGCAGTTTTACCACCCCACCTCGCGCTGTGTTCTGTCCTCCCAGGACGTCACGTTTGACGAGTCGGTTCCCTACTATCGTCTCTTCCCCTACCGCACTGCGTCCCTCCCTCCCTCGCCACTCTTCCTTGTGCGAGGTCCCCCTCCGGTAGACCCCCTCCCCCCTCAGGGTCCTGCCCCCTCAGGTGTGTCTCAGGTAGACGCAGTTGAGCCTGTCGAGGTAGCTGTTGACTCTGGTACTGCTGGATGTGCTGAGCCGGTGGGTGCGGGGTCTGGGGGTGCTGAGCCTGGGGGTGTTGACCCTGGCGGTGCTGGGTCTGGGGTTGCTGAGACTGGGGGTGCTGAGGCTGGGGGTGCTGAGGCTGGGGGTGCTGAGCCTGGGGGTACTGAGCCTGGGGGTGCTGAGCCTGGGGGTGTTGAGCCTGGGGGTGCTGAGCCTGGGGGTGCTGAGCCTGGGGGTGCGGAGACTGAGGGTGCTGGGCCTCGTGTTGCGTCTGGCGGTGCTGAGCCTGGAGGTTCTTCGGGTACTTTGTCCCGCCGGGAGCCACTCTCTCCACTGGAGCTGCGTGAGTGGTTTGCCCGGCGCTGGAGGCGAGCTGCTGGAGCAGGAGGTGCTGCGGGCGCTGGAGGTTCTACTGCTGCTGAGGGTGCTGGTGCCGCGGGTCCCGGAGGTGCTCGTACTGAGAGTACTGGAGCTGCCGGGCCGGTGGGTGCTTCTCGTTCTGGAGGCGTTGGTGCTGCTGGTGCTACTGGAGCTGGAGCTGCTGCGGGTGTTGGCACTGGAGGTGCTCCTGGCGCTGGTGCGTCTTAGGGTGCTGGAGTTAGCGCTGCTGGAGCTGGGGGTGCTACTGGTGCTGGTGCTGCCGTTGTGGGTGCTGGTGCTGTTCCTGCTGGTTCTGGTGGCGCTGCGCGGCCGCACCTGTACTGCGTTCCGCTCCTTGAGCAGGTTCTTGGTCTTTCGTCCTCTACTAATCCTGCTCCTCTCTTAGAGTGTCCGCCGCCTGTCCAGTCTGAGTCAAAGTTACAGCCAGCCTCCCCACTGCCTGCTCCTTCTCCCTACATTGGTCCTACTGGAGGTCTTGCTGAGCGTCGTGAGCCTGGGTCTCGTCCTGCGTCGCCTGTCCGTGCTACTCGCACTACTGGTCGTGGTTCGTGTCAGCGTCCTCCCCCTGTCCCCGGCACGCACCAGATGTCTCTTCGTCCTTCCACTACTCCGCTGCGTGCCCCTTTGCCTTCTCCTCCTGAGTCCTCTCTTCCTGTCCTTCCTGACCTAGAGTCGGACTCCCTTCGTGCTGCTGACCCGTCGCTGTTTCTGCGCACCGACACTTCTTTGCCGCCATTCTACATCCTCGTGTACGTCGACGACTTGGTCTTTGCCAGTGCTGACACTGCTGGACTCGCCTATGTGAAGTCCGAGCTGTAGAAGAGACACACGTGCACAGACCTGGGTGAAGTGCGTAGCTACCTTGGCTTGCAGATCACCCGGGACAGAGCACAGCGCACCATTACCCTGACTCCGTCATACATGGTGCAGCTGGTCCTTCAGCGCTTCGGCTTCACGTACTCCTTGCATCAGGCCACTCCTCCGTCTACTCGCCACTCGCTCTTAGCTCTGCCTTCGGATGAGTCCGTAGAGTCGAGTGGCCCGTACCCAGAGCTTGTTGGCTGCCTCATGTACCTGATGACCTGCACTCGACCTGACCTTGCATACCCTCTTAGCATTCTGGCACGCTATGTTGCACCTGGGAGACACAGACCAGAGCACATGGCTGCAGCGAAGAGGGTGTTGCGCTACTTGTGCAGTACGTTGGGCATGGGGCTAGTGCTTGGAGGGTGGAGTCCAGTGGGTCACGCAGACGCTTCTTGGGCTGACGACCAGGCTACGCAGCGGTCGTCACAGGGTTACACCTTCAGCCTTGGTTCCGGCTCTGTCTCGTGGCGGTCTACCCGCTCGTCTTCTGTTCTCGGCTCCAGTTGTGAGGCTGAGATGTACGTAGGGGCCATGGCTGCACAGGAGCTACGCTGGCTCACCTACCTGCTGACTAACCTGGAATCGCCGCCTCGTTCTCCTCCAGTTCTGTACGTAGACAACAAGGCCATGCTGGCCTTGTTTCGGGAGCACACACTGGAGCACAGAACGAAGCACATCGCTCTTCGCTACTTCCTTGCTCGTGAGCTGCAGCAGCGTGGTCAGCTGCGCCTTGCCTACGTGGCCTCTCAGGCCAACACTGCAGATATCTTCACCAAGGCACTCGCGCCCTGTGACCATCAGCGTTTCTGTACTTTGTTAGGTCTTGTGCATACCTTGCCTCACTTGCTCACTGCTTGACCTTGTCTGTACTACTACATATATATATGCCTGCTCTTGCTTGTTTAGCATTATATACATGTGTAGTCTTGCATGTGAACTGGCCTTGTGGCCTTTGAACTTGTGCTCAGAATGTGTTGTGACGTTGTGATCCACCCTGAGCTTGCTTTGCTTTGCTTGACTGGTCTTGTGACCCCTTGTTCTCCCCCACTTTGCCTATGGGGGTGTGTCACATTTATGACTTAGCTATTGTAGGCTATAGTGGGGTAGCACATATGGGGTACACACTTTCTAGGGTTTGTACTTGTACCCAACTTTTCCTTAGTCAATTCATTCCTCGTTTCTCCTCACAAAATGAACCTTTATACTAGATAAAAAAATGGAGACCTTACTAATTAGCATTTAGGCCAGAATGGGTTGCAATCTTTCAAAACGACGTAGAAGTATGAGTTGCGGCCCTTGGGAACAGACGAATGAAAACGACGTCCCGCTAGGTCGAAAAATGCTTCAAAACGAGATAATCAACAAGAAAGAATTGATGCGGGTTTATCAATGACTTGAATAGTACTTCGAGATGAGAAGTAGATGTTTAGGCTGAGACATTAATCTGCTAACTAGGTTCTAGCTGGCGGCTTTAGTCTCTGACCTTGGCAGGCTGAGGGTGGGTAGTAAGAGCCAAACAGAACGACGAGAGGAAGAAAGAGGAAGAAATGAAAGAAAACCCTAACCCAACTCACGCGCAAAACCATTTGACTCATAATTTAAGTTGAACATGTAATAGCGGTCATG